CGGGTAATTGAATACCTGGAGTGGGGGGTGGTGCAGGGTGGGAAGCAAGTTCTTGAACTGAGTTTGTCTTTGTTTTCCAAGGGAGGGTGGAGGGCATGGCAAGGCAAGGTTCTGTTCCCTGGGGTTGGAATACAGGAATGGCCCCGCTGCAGGAAGGGAAGCAGAATCCCTGGCAAGGTTGGCTGGCCTGAGTTCCCTCCAGAGCCCAGCCAGCCGTTGGGTCAATGGGCTGTCTCTGTCTCGGGGTATTGCATTTATTTCTGCACCAGAAGTAAACAGCAGTCAGGGGCCTTTCATGCTAGGTCTGCAGTCCTAGAGTGAACTTGACCCTTAGATTAGCAGCGTTCAGGACGTCTGTCCTGTTAGTTTTCAGTAGTAGGGGATGTTGGGAGAACCCTTCAAGCACAGCTTTGCATATCAAATAGAATTCATTTCCTCCTCTGATCTTCCAACTGTTCTCAGGAGTCAGCCTACCGGTGGAACTTCAAGAGGAAAGGTGCTGTTGGGAGACCCCGTCTGAGCCTCTGCACCTGTGGGCCAGATGTACGCGGCCCTTCTGGCAAAGCCTATCTATCCAGCCTGGTGCCCAGAGACTATAGCCGGGTTTGCTTTTCAGTGTGGGTGGGCAATAGCATCAGAACAGTCCACCCATAGATTCTTCTCAATAGATCTGTTTTTCCACAGAGGTTTGTCTTTGACCCACACACCTAATCACAGTCACTAGGTGTGTGGGTCCGATGGAGCGGTTCAGGTGAGTTGGGGGAGTTCATTCCAGGAACTCCAACGCCATGTGGGGACCCGTGGCTCTGTCAACGGTGCCCAGTGAAAGGCCATTTTGTGGGGTGGCAAGAAGCCTCAGTGGATTCTGGGAGAAGAGGTTTGAGAGCAGGAGGACAAGATCATCCGACTTGGGTTTCATCCCCTCTCTCCTCTCCCTTTTCTGTTGGGTGCCCTGATCTGATCTGAAGTTCAAAGATTGTTAGGTGAATGCCATCAGTTGTTGTCACAAAATCATTCCCTGTGACTGGAATATACACTATATATGACTGACGTCTGTTGGTGAGCACTCTATTTCTAATCATTGTAATTATGCTGGAATACTTGCTGTTCATATAATAACCACGATCCACCAGCTCTCCATTCCAGACCAATAACTTTGCCTGAACGTGCTCTTTGTTCAGGAAAAAAATAAAATAAAAGGAGGTAATTTAACATCCCTGGTGATAGTCAACAAAGCCAATGTTGAAACCAGAAGATGCACAGATAAAAGCTTTCCTGGGGACACAAGGTGCTGAGCAGATGAAAGCCACCTGGTTCACTCACTCTGGGCTAACAAAAGGACCCTGTCTGTAGCCTCCACTGAAAGGGTAAAGAGAAATGAGAACCTAGGGACTTCCAGAAGAATCCACTGTACCTGTAATCCAAAAGACTTGGGAGACTGAGGCAGGGGAATTGCAAATTTGAGGCCAGTCTGAACAACTTAGCAACATACTATCTCAGAACAAAATATAAAGAATGTCTGGGATGAGTGGCAAAATACCCGTGGATTCAAGCCCTAGTACTACACAAAATCAATCAATCAATCAATCTATCTATCAATCATCCATGGGGGCTGGTCTTGGTCTAGATGTCCAGAGGAGCTGCTGGCTCTAAGGCTGAGTGAGTGAGTCATCTTATTAGGCACAGCTGGGAGACTGAAGCCTTGATGTAGCACTTGTCCTATAAGAATACTTCTTGGTCATTGATTTTTCTTAGGAACTTTGCTGATTGTTTCTACTTACCATTGCAAAAATTTGGAGATCGTGTGGACCAAGGGCCTCACTTTATGGATTTCTAAACACAGATCTACAGATCCCTATACACCTTGAAACCTCGGTGGCTTGCACATGCAAAATGCTCAGGGTGACGGAGGTTACATGATGGTTGCTCTAGTTGGGATCTGGGATGTCCGGCTGGCTCCCCAGAGTGGCACTATTGGGAGATGGTGGTGGAAACTCTGAGGCAAGTTTTGGGTAACTGGGTGCCTGCACTTGAGGGGGATTGTGAGAGGCCATTTCTTTTTCATTTCCCAGCCACCACGAGGTGAGCACTTTGCTCTACCATGTGTGCCTTGCCATTAAGAGCTGCCTCACCACAGGCCTAGAAGGAATGGATCCATCCAACCATGGACTGAAACTTCCAGAACCTTTCCTATTTGTCAGTTGGTTTATCTCAGGAATCTGCTGCAGTAGCAGAAAGAGGATTAACACAGAAGCAAAACTTCAGAGTAACATGTTGTGAGTGTGTTCTTCCCCTGGAACAGAGAGAGGACACTGGTGTCTGGGGGCTTCCACAAAAGAACTTTTGGATTCATTTTATTTTATTTTTTTACCTTATTCCTGCTTCTATCTCTGCCCTCAAACCAAAAACAAAAAATCAAGGAAAATTTTTTTTTTAAAAATTGCTTCACTTTCACTAGTAGCCAGAGACTTTTGAGTTTGGAAGACCATGACCTCCTTCCACTGACTCAAAATGGTTAGTCAGTCAACAGTTGACAAATATGTATTTGCTTATTTCCCCTGTAGTACATTCATCAGGAAAGTAAATGTACCACGTCCATGTATGGTGGTCAACTCTTGCTTCTCAAAGTTCACATTCAAAATGGCGCTGGTGTTGAACTGGATTGAATGCAACCTCCAGGGTTGGACCAGGATTATACCTTTCTCTTAGAATAAATAAACGTTCATGATAAAGAGGAGCTGTCATGGGACAATGTGATAGAGAGACCTGGGTGATTCCACGTTACCCTGGAGCCTCTCACTACCACGGCCTGCCAGCCTTCCATGGTGCAGTTCCAGGGAAATGGAGGTGTGGAAGGACGCCAGTGGGAGGGAAGTCCGTCTCCATGTCTCTCTACCAGCCATATTTCTCCAGGCATTTCCTCTTTGGGGAAGCCTGGCATCAAATTCTCTGAGAGGCTGTGAGTCCCCCCAGCTTTTGCCAGTGCCGGGTGGAGAAGGGACACTGTGCCTGACTCAATCTTGGCCCTGAAGGGAGCATTCTCCTATCGTGATCCCTGGATGGTGCTGGGAAACATGGTGGGCTATTGCTTTGTTCGCTTCTGCTTTTTTTTTTTTTTTTTCCCCCTTCTTTCTGAGCAGCAGATGCAGGCTCCTTTAGTACATTTAAAAGAAAGAGACTTGGTATACAAGGAGCTGACGAGAAAAAAAAAAGAGCAGAAATTGCTAACCACCTTCAGGTAATTAAATGACCGTGGGTTTCTGAAATCCGCCCAGTGGCTCAATTGTTTTTGTTTTTATTTTAGCCTCCACACATAACACCTCCGCCAGATGCACCAGTCTGGAAAGATGGAGAGAAGCCACCACTGTTTTGACTCGGCTCCCATCGAGTTCTGTGCCAATTTCAGATGCAAAGAAGAGGCTGCTTCCTGGGGCCATGTCCCCTGGCCTCGGGGGGATCAACAAGCCCTTCTGCCTCTGTCCCCAAGATAAGAGGCCAGCTGGGCTGATGAGACTGAGTAGCCTTTTACCAGCTTCTCATGCCAAAGGTGTACCAGCTGCTGACCCAGTCATGTCTCTCCTATTACCTTAAATCCATCCTGTCTTTGTTAAAGAGCAGTGGACCACACACACACACACACACACACAGGAAACTCCTACTGAAAGCCACTTTCTTCCCTTTCCCTGATTACAAATCAGGGGAGCCACTTTTAGCCAGACAGACTCCACTGCAGAGGGAGAGGGTCCTGGGTTGGTGGCTTCCATACTCTCTTTAGGTTTCCAACTGAAATTTGCCAGGAACTTTCTAGAAGTCAAGACAAAGCCTCTTTCTAGTTTTCTAGACTGGTGTATCCGGCAGGGGTTGTATGTATGGAGAGACCCAAAGAAAAAATAAAATAAAAAGCAACGAGTGGGGGGATTTCCAAGGCCTCTTGTCATTTAACTGATGGAGGTTCTCAGATTTCTGCTTTTCCTTTGTTCTCCTTCCTCCCTACTCCGTGGGGTCATTCTGTCCCCCTGAAGCCCTCACCACTCCTTGCCCTTACCTCTAAAATGGGCTGCTCTGTCCCTCCCCCAGCCCCCAGAGGCCTCCACTCAGCCATCAGGGCCCAGGCAAAATGGGCCTTGGGCTTGGCATTTCTGAGCGCTCTGGACAACTAGCCATGGTCCCTCTGGAACAGGTGAAGGGTCAGCAGGTGTGGGGATGCGCTGTGTATCCATCTTTCCTCTAGGACACAGGTAAAAGAGCCCCCCTCCTGCCATTAAGGGTCTGCCCAAGTTGGGTTCCTGGCCGGGTCCTGGTCTGGGAGAGGGGGTGCAGACCATGAGGGGACTCTGTGGCCTCGCAATGCCCTCGCCTGTCCCTCGGGTGTCCCTGTGCTTTCCGCATCAGGACAGTGTGCTGCGCTCACAGCTGTGGGGCTGGCTGCACGGTCACAGCACCTGTGCAGGTGTGTGAAGGGGGCTGGAAGGCACTTCCAAGTCTGGGCTGGGGGTTGAAGGTGCTGGGGACTGTTGGAGTCAGCACTGGCTGAGAGAGTGGACCAGGCTGGCAGGGAAGCCGTGTCGTGTTGCTGGAGAATGCAGTGGAATCTAACCAACACCGTATACAGTCATATTTACATTATCATCTGTCTCTCAATTCTAGATAGCAGCTCTTTAAAGTGCCCACTCTGTTGAGAACAACGGGCCCAGCAATGGGAGTCATCGGACCTGGAGTTGTTCTAGAACTTTCCTGATGTGTGGGGATCCTCCTGGCTGGAGTGACCTGGGATGCCCCTTTGAAACAAAACATCCAGGTGGACCCTCACCCAGTCAGTCCCCACACAGAGTCTGTCTTGTTCTCTGCTTTTGTGAAGTGTCCCTTGAAAGCCAGGCCTGGAGAGGAACAGGGAGGCGCTGGGGGCTTTCCCCTCCTTTTTCCTCCTAAAGGAAGGCCTGCCTTGGGTATCCCGGGCTCAGAACAAGCCGTGCTCAGCCCTCTGGTTGCCAAACACCCACCTCGGGCAGCTTCACGCGGCCTTCCTGGAAGGAGCAAGTCTTGGGGTCATGGGTGCAGACGTGCCGATATTTACACCAGTGGCAGCGGTACGGGCTCTCCACGCAGGACAGGCACCTGGGCACAGAGGAGAAGAGGCACAAATCATTGAAGCTGGGTGACCCCAAGCCCAAGGTCCAAGTCTCTAAGATCTGGCAAAACATTTTAATATTAAGAGACCCCCCCTTCAATGCTCAGGCATCCAATACAGAGCCATCCCTCTTCTCCCCAAGGCCGCAGGGAGCTAATAGTGCTCAGCCTCTTGCTGTTCACTGAGAGCTGGGAATGCTGGTCTCCCCAAAGCCCCCTCATCTGTCCTCCACCTCCACAGGGTGATAGTGTCCTTTGATGAAGAAGAGAATGAGCACATCTGGAGTTGAGGACCCTGTCTGGAAGCCATAAGATCTGGGGCAAGCTGGGTGCCATGGCACACACCTGTAATAATAGCTACTGGGGAGGTTGAGACAGGAGGATCACAAGTTCAAGGCCAGTCTGGGCACCTGAGCCGGACTTTGTCTCAAAATTAAAAATAAAAAGGGCCGAGGATGAAGGTCAGTGGTAAAGCACCACTGGGTTCAATTCCCCAGTGCTAGGGGGAAAAAAAGAAGAGTTGGAGCAAATGCAAATTCAGGTTTTAATTCAAATTAACCCTGGGTCTCAGCTGTCCAAGGTCCACATGGAGCCGGCTTCAGGCAGAAGCTACAGGCAGCTCTCACAGTACATGACCTCCTTCACGGTTGTCAACCCCACTTCCACCCTTTACCTCCAGGAAACAAAAGTCACTTATAAAAGCTCCTTGTTGCTTAAAAACATGACGAGTTTCCCTGTTGTCAAAAACTCAAATGCCTTGATACCAGCTGAGCCCTTGCCAGAGGAAAAGCCACAGCCCACACGGCGTTGGTGCTGTGGCCAGGAGGAGACCTGTATTTCCCATGAGCTGTTCTGCTGTCTGGAGGACTTTTCTCATTCCTTCCACTCAGCCACTCCTTGACCAAGGAGAGTTGGCCACTCTGGGCCTCCTCCCAGCTTCATGCTGACATGGAAAGGGCAGTCCTCACACCTCACTGTCTCCCTCTTCCAACAGTATCCTAGGCCACCAAGTCCTGGAGGGCTGGGGTTGAGTCCTTGAGATACTTTAATTTTTGACTCCTCTGTAGCTAGTAGGTCACAGCTTGCATAGCACATAGTGATTCTTAGAATCGTTTTATGGGCAGGATGGAAACTTCGTACACGATTTCATCTACCTCTGCTGCTTTCCTAGGGGGAAGAAGTTGAAGGAGGCCACCAGAGGTCAAGCCACCTACAGCCCCATGGCAGGAACCAGAAGAGAATCCTGGTGCCGAAACAATTTTCTCTGGGCTGGGAGGGGCTGGATGGTTCCTTCCTTAGGGCCGCAGATAGAGCTAAACTTGGGCCCAATATTGCCGCAGTCTGGCTGGGCACAATTCAGGAGCCACTTGTCAAAAGAAACGAACTTTATTTTTAGAACCACACACACCAAACAAAACAGCTCCTCAGGAAAAACCTTCAGAGCCCAACTGCCACCACCGGCTTCCCACACGCCTCTCAACCTCCCCCCACTCCTCCTGCTCTTGAGGCTGATTGGCTGGGTCGCGTGGGCAGAGCCAAAAAAAGTCCCCCAATGAGCAGCTCCGTGGTCTGAAAGGGCGGGGAAACAGCCCAATGAGCATCACCGCAGAGGAGCCAATCAGTTGGCAGCTAGAAGTTTGCTGGGGCCGCTGTGGGCCAATCATCAACTGGCAGCTGGAAGTTTGCCGGGGCCCCTTCAGCTGTGGCTCTCAACACAATATGTCCMAATTAGATGGACAGACTCTAAAATTCCACCAGCCTAGAGTCTAGAAATGTCATTAGTCATGTCACCCACCCATCCTGCATAGAGGGGAACACAGAACAGCATGCTAAAGTGATCAGGGCTTTTGGACATCAGGCCTGTGGTTTCAAACCATGGTGATTCTATGGAACTCATTTGGAGAACATAGGAAGAGTTTGCGCAACTCTGAGAGAGAGGGGTTCCAAGTCCCTTCAGCCCTCCACCCAGTAGCTCCTACTTCCTTCTGTTTTATATTTTGGATGTCCACATCTACTTTCAGTTGAAGAAAATTTTCTATGATGAAAAATTTTTAAAAAAGGCTTGTCCACCTACAACTTGGTCCAATACCATTATTTATTTATTTATTTGTTGGTTCAGGGGATTGAACTCATAGGCACTTGACCCTGAGCCACACCCCAGCCCTTTTGTGTATTTAGAGACAGGGTCTCACTGGGTTGCTTAGTGCCTCAGTTTTGCTGAGGTTGGCTTTGAACCCGTGATCCTCCTGCTTCAGCCTCCCTGCTGGGCTTGCAGGCATGTGCCACTATGCCTGACTAATCCCATTAATTTTATGGAGGGAATAATAATATAATAATAGTAAAACAGGGGAAGTACCTAGCCAACAAGCCAGGCAGGTCCTACACGCCCTCTTACTCAGGACAAGCAGGGCCGCTATGCAGGGTGGCAATAAGCACAGTGTCCAGCCTGCTCTGATGGGACAGTGCTCCTGTGACGTCAGCTGCTGAATGTTTGAGTGCCAGCCTTGGAAGAGGTGCTCCTAATCCCCTGTTTAGAGAGGAACTGGGGCACAGAATGGCTAATGTTCCCAGCTTGCCTGACTCTGGGGCCTTAGTCCCTGCCCTCCATGCGTGTCTCCTGGAGATGGGTGTTGATGTCAAACAAAGTCAGTGCCAGAACCCGGCTTCCTGGCCTCTCAGGCCAGGGTCTGTTGAGCCTGCAACTTTATGCTCCCCTCTGGTCCTTGCCACTCTGGTCCCAACCAAGTCTGCAGGTGAGTGGCTGGACTACCTGCCAGCCTTAGGACACACAGTAGACTTCTCTTCCTCCTCCAGCCCCCTTTCTGAGCATGGTGCTTGCTGCTCTGTTTTTCTGGTGAGATGGATGACACCCAATAGATGATGGGAATGAAACTGGTTAAAAAGATTTATGCCAGGGAAGATGCATGGAGGGATTTGGAGAGCCTGCCCCTCAGGTCCTCACACTACGTTCTTTCTTGTTTCTGTTAATCCTGTAAGTAATGGAGGAGAGCTTTGGAGCCTCCACATGGTGAGTCCTGGGAACACTGCTGGGGTCTTCTAGTCTCTGCATGAACCTTGACCCCCGGTTGCTGAGTGCGTCTGGGAGCACTTACGAGTTGTGCACGCTGCAGTTGTAGAAGACAAAGCTGGTGCTGGCGAAGGTCATGCCTGTCTCTTTGGACTTGAGCTGAAGCTGTACGACATGGTGGTCTCCTACAAAACAGAGTCAGCCAAGAAGTCAGGGGGAAAGCAAGGCCATGCCAGAGTTCCACTGGTTGTAAAGTACAGGGGACGGGGACAAGGAGATCCTGCTCCTCTAGGGTCTGTGATTCAGCAAGACCATCCTCCAGACAATCCCAAACAGCTCAGAGAGCTGTCCCAGCCTCTCCTCCCTTTTACACAGTATTGCTTGCTCCCCCAAATATTCATTGCCTGCATGTGCATGTGCATGTGCCCACACACACACAAACAGGTCTTCAAATGTGCATTCGTTCACATGTATTTTGTCCTTGGCAACCTCACAGAATTACAGACACACACTGAGGAGCAACCAGGGAGAAAAAACATGGAGACTCTTAAGAATACTGTCACCAACTGCACATGTGGTTTTGCATGTGTGTGTAAGTGTGTGCACACAAGAGCTCCTTCCCCATCTCTATACAGACAGGCCCAGTTCTGATGCCCCCTCCTCTGGGGGACTCAGGGCTCCATAGGGCGGGAGACATGGGGATCCTCAGCTGGTACCAAAGAGGAGCTGGAGCCCATGTTTAATTCACAGCCCTGACCCCAGGCTCCCACTTCCAGCCTTGTTTTCTGCCTTCCCGGAGAGCCTCATTAATCAATCAGCTCCAAATAAATGTGACAAGCCCAAATGGGAGGGACAACACAGAATCAATTTGCCCAGGCCAGCCTGTCCCTTGCCAGTGCTGAACCTCTGTCCACTCCCATTCTTCCCAGTGCAGCTGGCCACAGACAACAGGAAGCTGGGGGGAGGCAGGGTACCGTGGGAGTGGGAGAGATAATGGTCCAGGGTCAGAGAACCAGGTGTGTGAGCAGAGGGATACAGAGCCAGATGACCACTGCCCACACATGCCAGATCTTGACCAGCTTCCCTCTTCTCCTGTCCCTCCAGGCCAGCCAGAGTGGGCTGAGCTCTGGTATGCTGCGCAGCTGTCCTGGCCTGGCCTCCACCCACCCTGTCTGCAGCTGCTCCTCACCTAGGATGATGCTGACTCTTGGATGCCAACCTGGGGCTGAGCTAAAAGGGCTGCGGCAGCCAATTCCAAGGGCAAAGGAGGGAAATTTCATTCCCTTTACTTACAACACACTCAATCACCCACTTCCTCTGGCCCACCCCTGCCTGTAGGCTCCCTCAATCCCCCCACATCTGTCGTGACTTCTCCCATCCAGGCGGGAGGAAGACAGGCCTGCCACCCAGTTTGGCCTCCTGGGGCTACTCACCATTCTCTGTGATGATCCGGGGCACCTCCTTGGCTGCAGGGGAATAACACTGGATCTGATTGCCTATCACCAGCCCATCCATCTCTGACAGGTCCTCAAAGGTGCAGTTGACGCCAGCTGATAGCTCCGGGACATTGTATGTCTCCAGGACCAGCTGTGAACAGCCAGGCAGGAGGAAAGAGAAGAGGAGAGTGGGGTGGGGAAAGGAAGGGTGTGGAATAAAGGAAGAAAGTGGGTGAGCAAGAAAAAGAGAGACAAAGGAGAGGCCATATTGACATGGAGGTTGGAAAGATCCAGTTTGTTACGAGAGGTGTAGGCAGGTGGCAGAACGACAAGAGAAGAAACCTCATCAGAATCCAAATGGATTTGACCCTAGGAGGTGGGAATGTCGAGGGATTTGTGTGATCAGCGAGCTTCTCTTCCATTATTTCCAGTTTTGGAAAAATGGCAGCACCAGTCACCAAGGACCCAGTGTTAGAGCCCGGAAGCCATCTGTGCCATTTCTCACACATGAAATGAAGATACATTCCCAATATCCTCGGCCATTCTTTAGGGTCAGCTCTGGTCTGATCATTGTCCTTGTCTTTCTACTCATTTGGAGTAAAGCCTCTCCCCCCAATGCTCCTGTCCATGTGCCCTTCTTGGGTCCTTAATGAACCCTTAAATCTCCTACCCTCATCTAAGTTGCTCTTGTCAGCTGGACTTGGCTCAGTTCTCCTCAGGGTCCCCAGGCTCAGGTGCTCTTTGAAGGGGAGAGTTCTTCCCCAGACCCCAACCCCATGGTCCTTACCAGCACGTTGTACTGAGAGACGGAGATGTTGTTGGGGTGGACTGTCAGCCGGACACACTGCTTCATCTCTGAGGCAAACCTACGGGGTTCCCTGGACCGCTCACACCTCTCCTTCCGGGTGCACCTGGAAAGGACATACTAATGGGCTACTGAGGAGATGACCGCTGGGTCCAGGGAGGGGTCCACACTGAGGTCAGGTCTTTCCAGCAGTTCTCAGGATCTTTCCACATTCAAGTGCCTAGAACTGACCATTACATTTCCTTCCTCAAGCCTGGTTCTCTTCCATCATACCCCAATTTGGGGAAGACGGTCACTTCTATCACTATTGCCAAATGCAGAAACTTGACAGTTATCCTAAACAATTCTCATCTCTTCTAAACTCAGGTGAAGAGCGGCACAGTCCTGTCTACTGGCTCTCCCTACTCCTTCTTTTGGCCAAAGAGAGATGGAAGCTGTCAGGAGCTTTTACAGGACAGGAGAGAGGGTTTAGTGGGAAACAGAGTAGCCAGAGTTGGCGCATCCACACCGGGAAGGGATATGGGCAGGCAGCATCTGTCTCAAGAGCAGAAGAGTGTGATGAGGAGGCAAGGGAGCCCAGGGATAACTGAGTGGCTCTTGGGGTAACTCTTGGCCCTGAGAAAAACCAGTGCTCCCAGCTATGAGGAAAGAAAACACCCTCAACCACAGCACGAGAGCAGCCTGCGGTGAAGAGTCTTAGAGGAGAAACACCCTAAGGGAAGCCATGGATGAACTAAAGCTTTCCTCCAAGGATGAGGAGGAAAGGGGAGACACAGAGACAAAGAGGACCTTCGAGCAGGTTGGATGTGCAATGCAAAGTGAAAGCATCCCTGAAGGATGCAGCCATGACTTGAGTTAATAAGTGCTTACTCGGTTCCATTCTATGCCATTTAAGTCTGTGACCATACCATGACAAACCCACTTCAGAGATCAGGAAACTGCAGAAGAGGGTAGTAAGTAACTTACCAGGTGACCAGCTAATCAGATGAACTCTGAACCTCTGCTCCAGCTTCCGGAAGCTTCTAGACTGAGAAGTGGGAGATGGTCCCCCTGCTGCAGACTATATTTATGTTCCTTGTCATCCTGATGACCCTATCATGTCCTGAGGACAGTTTCAACCTTTCTCCTCCATCTTTTTCTCTAGATGAATGGCTGTTTCTGCCTCCTCCTGCAAAGCACTTTGAATATCACTGCCACTTGTTGGACAAAGCTGAGTTCTCCAGGAGGCTTCCAAGAGACTCCAACCCAGGAGGGAAAGGTCAGATGTGACTGCTCATGCCTGTGGCCCTCCGGGGCTGCTCCAACAGACTGATGGCAACGAGCTTGTCTGCCTCCAAGTCTTGGAAGTTAATTTGCCAGGCCAACTGTTCTGCCAGGACTCCATTACCTTCCGCCATTAAGCTAATGTCCGGGGCTTTTCCAGAGTGTCTGTACTGACATGGCTATTAATAGTCTTATTACTCCCATTAAGAGCAGAACCAGAGAACTGGTACGGGCTTAAATTATTCACTGACTCCCCAACTTTGAAGTTCCTATTTTCAAGAGCAATCAGTAGGTCTGAAAAAAAAATGCCTTTGATTAAATTATGGAGAGGAGGAAAAAAAAATGAAGCTGTTTCTTGGCCAAACATCACCTGGAGTTATCAAATAAAGATTCAGATGGTAAAAGAGAAGACTCCATCTTTCTTTCAGGGTGGGGGTGTGCAAAGATGTCTGGTTGGGGATCTTAGGAGAAGTCTGACCAGCATTGTTTGCTGCTTGCAAAGTTCTTGGGGCTGCATCCTGTCTCCGCCCCTGAGGCCCTCACCTAAGTACTCAGCAACTCTCCCAAATATAAGAAAGCCATGTGTAGTTTAGAGTTTCAAACATCCCAACTAGTTGTCATCTTGGCAAATTGCTTAACTTCTTGCTGCCAGTCTTCTCATCTATAAAACAGAGTCAAAATTGTACCTAATAGGATTTTTTTTAAGGATTAAATGAGATTATGTTCTAAGCATTTAGAACAGGGCAGCGTTCAAAGTGAGTCCTCAATAAACATTCGCTAGTGTACATTAGCCCATCTCTTCTCTGCCTTCCCCACTCCAACCCTCCCGACTACAGCTGAAGCAGAAGCACTCATCTTGCAGACTGGTCCCCGAGGCAAATTAGAGAGAGAAGAAAGCAGGGATGAGGCAGTCTTCCTCCCAATGAGGGAGGAGGGCATCCAGGGACAAAGTGGTATGGATTGTAGCTTTGTTTTCTTAATAGCTGTCAAAGTGTATTGAGAACTCGGCTCTCTTGGTGGAAAGTCAGGTTTAAGGTCAGAGACAGGGATGTTTTGACATTTCTACTATCCTTCAGGGCCCGGGAGGGTGGAGGCTGCCATGTCCAAAAGCACAGACAATTGACCTTAAATGTGATAGGATAATGGAGGGGAAGAATGCGTTCCTCCCGATGCCTTATGGGGTCTGTCAAGGTAATGGCCTTTTGCTCTTCTTCTAGGACTGTGATTTCCCATTAGCTCAGGCCAGAGCTGAGAAACAGGCAAAGGGTTAATTCATGACCCCAGGAGGGGCGCTGAGACGTTTCCTTTCAAGGGGCTGCAGGAACTTCTGAAATCAAGTCCCTCAGTTCTGCTGTAGGGTCAGCCTTGAGGAAGGAAGGACACTCTTGCTTCATCCATGTCCCAGGTAGGAAAACGGGGGCATCAATGGTCTAAGAAAATATATGCTGCATGACTTGGAGTTTTCAGAAATTGGTCTCTTCCGCCATCACTGTTAACCCTGCCCCAACCTCAGACCTGCAGGAGGAAGCAGGCCCACAGAGACACACCAGGGCCAGAGTTGGCGTTCTTTCCTGCTGAATTCTTTCTTCCCTTCCTCATTCCTTCCTTCCCCCGGCGGCCCCTCCAGCCCCGGTTCAGAGGTACTAACAGCCCTGGAGGAGAAAGGCCCTGGGCCCCTGGAAGGGGTGATTATTCAAGTCAGTGGTTCCAATGAGATTATCCTCTCTAATGAAGCAGCTACCTCCGCCCTCCCCTAAGCCTGAACTTTCACTGCTGGAGAATTCCCAGCCAAGTGGAAAATTAGAAGAGAGAGGAATGGAGAAAGGAAGAGAGTGAGGGAGAGGGAGAGAAGGGGTGATTAAGTCCAGGAGAAATTAATTCCTAAATACAGAGATGGAAATATTAACACCCAGTGCTGCTGGCCAGGCAAACAAATTTCAATATGGAAGTGGGCTATCTGGGAGGCCAGCCTGGGTGGGCCTCCACGCTGGGAGGCCCTCACTGGTGCATCTCCCCAGGCCCACCAGTGTGGACCTGCTGGGCTTGGATATCAGGACTTGCTCCTTCTTCACAGATGATCCCCAGTTCCCAGGGCTTCACAGGTGCCATGGCCTGAGCTTCAAGTGCACCAGTTCGGTCATCTGTGCTTACAATGTAAGGAAACAGAAAAAGAAAGGGGACGTGGGGAGGGTCCTTCCCAAATGGACATGATGGACAAGTGAAGAGGGTTTGGAATGCCTGCTCAGCAGGAGATCATGGGAGACTCTTCAGTCATTGGCATCTCATCTGGAGCCCCTGGAAAGGGGAAAGACTGGTTTCCTAAATGTTGCCCTTGCCCTCTTCAGGAATGCCCATAGAGAAGGGCAGGTGCATCTGTGGCTTGGAGGAAGGTGGACTAGATAGCACAGGGAACCCTTCTAGGGAGATGGATGTGAAAGAGGGTCCTTTTATGAAGGATGTGGACCAGGTGAGTCCTTTCAAAGTCAGAATTCTAAAATCCAGTGACGGACCCCAGGATCGCATGGAATTCTGCGTTGTTAACCTGTTCCACTAAATACTGAGGATAAATCCCAACCCAGGAAGACTGAGGCAATGCTTTAATTTTCCTTCTACCACCAGCTGCTGGTGACTGAACCCACCAGCCCTTGGCCATTGCTGCAGATCCAAACTCAGCCTGAGCCACCACTGCTATTGGATTCATCCAGGCCTCCTGCAGGAGGAGAGCTCAGGACTCAACAGGAACCAGAAGCTGCAGGGGCTAAGTGGAGGCCATTCTGGGCTCAGGTAGCAACCAAGTGGTCCTGCCCCAACTCTATCAGCTCTACTGGTCGGCTGGCTGCCTGTGTCAAGAAGCCATGCTCTGCCCTGGGGTCCAGGGTGGGTTCTTGCCTTGGCTACCTCTCAGCCTTCAGTCAAGAAACACACACACCCGCCCCACAACCAGCATCCTACACTGGGCCACATAGTGTGGAGCAGTTACAGCAAAAATTGCTTCCCTGCACCAAGCCTGGTGACGTTAATGGACCAGACTGTTGGATAAAGTGCAGGTGAAGCAGATCAGAATCAATCAGAGTAATTGTTAGAAAGTGTCTCAAGTAATAGGCACATCCTCTCCCTTACTTTGTGCACTAGAAGGAGAATGGATTAGCAGGGAGGCACCCTGGCCTTCTCCTCCTTCTCTTTGCCTCCTTCTCCTCCCTTCCTCTCCTCTAACTCTCCCTACTCCTGCGCCACTCCCCACCTCTCCCATCCTAACCTCTCCTGAACCATACGAGAAATAAACTGTCCACACTGTGCTCCCTACTGACCAGAGAAGAGGGAAACGACCCCATTCGCCTTCTCTTTGGGTAACCACTCAGTATATTAGCATCCTGGCTAATCCATTCTCTTTCTAATCCACACAGTACCGAAGAGGATGTGCTTATTACTGGAGACACTTTCTAATAGTTACTCATCCGCTCTGCAGGATGTCCACAGGGAGTCAAGGCTTAGGGAAGGGGGATCACTCAAAGTGCAAGTGGACCGTGGGACTTTTCCAATTCATATGAGAAGATGGCACTTTTGATTTACCATCTTTTAGTATCTTCGGGATCAGAGGCTAACAACTTTGAGCATAACGTCAGGAAAGAACACTGTCATGGTTTAGATAGGAGGCATCCCTCAAAGTCTCACGTGTGACACAAGGTAAGATGCCTTAGAGGTGAAATGATTGGATTTTGAGAGCCTTAACCTAATCAGTGCATTAATCCACTGATTGGGATTAACTGGGCGGTAACTGTAGGCAGGTAGGGGGTAGAGAGGAGGTGGATTTCCAGAGAGGAGTCAATGGGGTTTATATTTTTT